ATGGTATAGTTTTATGTGAAATTTACTTTTGACTCACTCTTTTTTTTTTAAACTTGTCAGTTTTGTTTAAGTGAGGATGGATGGATGGATGGATGGATGGATGCATGGATGGATGGATGCATGGATGCATGGATGCATGGATGGACGAATTGATAGGTGGAATTTGACTATAATTGGATTAAGCCAAATTGTATAAAACCTACTCGTTTTCCTCTGTCCATCCACCCCTCACTGCAAATGCTAAATTGTTTCCCTATTTGCCTCACTGTCTCATCCTCTCCATTGTGGGGAGGACATTATTTATACGGTCAGTGTCAGCTGATCATTGATTTGGTAATTACACGTTTCCCCTTGAGGCTGAGACAACTGATATACAAGGCCAATGCTAAAGGGGAGGTCCTCCTAGTTTCTTATCCATGACTTATAGCTAATTTGACCCTCCTAGATAGCCCTCTCTACTCTGCCAACAGCTTTTCAACACAACAAACACTCAAACACAAGTATCATCTTTCTCCCAGGAGAATGGAGCTCACAGAGCAGCTCAAACTGTGGTGGCAGGCAGTTGAAACCTTTTCATTGCTGACAACACAGAGTAATAAAACACCCATCGCTTCATGTTGTAACAAACCATTCTTGTGCTTTGAGGTATCCGTGGTCTTTTGAAACATGACGACGTGTTTTCTTGCATCAAAAACTTTACTATATTCAACTTTTTAGGGATTGTAAAGGATAATATTTAAAAAAAAAAAAAAAAAAACAAAACTGAGATGGGCTTTTTTTTAACCCAAGCTGTGGTGGAGTACTCACTTTAATATACACAGTGTACTCCATAGCTCCATATTACGGAGCCCCGCAGGGTACATGGGAGAAAAAAAAATTAAGACGGACTTTTGCGAGATCTCGCAAAACTTTTGCGAGATCTCGCAAAACTAACTCGGGATCTTGCAAAACTTTTGCGAGATCTCGAAAAACTAACTCGGGATCCCGCAAAACTTTTGCGAGATCTCACAGAACAAACTCGGGATCTCGCAAAACTTTTAGCCGCATTCTTCGGACGCCAGCCCGAAGCCGACCGGGAGGTCGAGGCACGATGTGCCGGGAAAGCAGTGTTCCTCCCAGCTGTAGTAGGTCTCGACCTCCCGTTAGCTTCGAGCTAATGGGAAGAATGCGGCTAAAAGTTTTGCGAGATCTCGCAAAAGTTTTGCGAGATCCCGAGTTAGTTTTGCGAGATCTCGCAAAAGTTTTGCGAGATCCCGAGTTAGTTTTGCGAGATCTCGCAAAAGTCCGTCTTGATTTTTTTTTCTCCCATGTCCCCTGCGGGGCTCCGTACCATATCATTCATTTTTAAGATCTAGTTTATTGCTGTCCAATTTAATTCCAGTGTGACAGGATCTGATGTGTTTGTGACTGCATTTTTTTAGTCGGTTTGATGTACCACTTGGTAACTTGACTTTTTCTGTCTACAGCAGCAATAAAAAGATTAATTAGCAAAAATTTTCTTCTGTCTTCTCTTTTTCCAAATCTGAGAAAAAACAAAACAAATTTGGGATTGGTCTCTTTTTCCTTAAAAGAGTGGAGAAAGTGCTGAAAGAGAGGTCGAAATACGTCAGGGAAAGACAGACAAATAGCAGGAATATCAGTATTTTTCTTCAAGACTGTCAGGGAGTCAGTCGGTATCAGGACAGATAGTAGTAACCTGTCTTTTAGCTTCTGTGGTTTATACTGAACATGATATTCTGGCACCACTGACTGCCAGGTGCTGAAAGCTTTGTTTATGTCACATATCATCCTAGAAACATTCTTCTGTTAAGATTTATGGGGATCATTAAGGTTTGTTTTTAATACAGTTTAAAAAAATGTAGCCTAATCTATCCCAATCATCGCAGCTCTGTGTGTCTCAATCCCTGTGCCTGTTCAGCCACATCAATAAGATCACATAATGCTTGCATAGAAGAGCTGTATAGTAGAGATGACACCCCTGATAGGAGCTAAACATATTGAATTTGGCAGTGTTAATGACTATTCGCTTTCTTCTGCGTGCCATTTTGGCAAAATAAAATTGGGAAAGAGTTCAGGGCATTTTTCCAGCTATATAGCACCAGCCCCAGACAATGAGACCCAGACAGGCTTAGTAGTCAAGAAACCATTCCCCTCTCACTGGGAACACATCTTGGACACACACACTCCAGTAGTTTTGTCTTGTATGTTGCTATCTGTGCTAGCTGCAGAGCGGTGGGGGCCTGTGCCAAGGGTCCATAGGGACCACTGGAATCGCTGGGGCTGGAGGAAGTTGGTCTGGGTCCAGTGGGGCGATCTGGGCTTGGTGACAAGCCAAGCTGTCTACTGCAGGGACGCTGGGAAAATGTAAATAAGAGCCTGATAAGGGCTATTGTTTTCATTCCATTCTCATCCCAGCTGAATGGCCTGCTCCCCAGCCACAGAGCATTTTATCTCAAGAGGGGGAGAGAAAAAATGGATGGGGTGGGGGTGGGTGAGAGATTTAAGAGCCCCCATAGGAAAATAAAAATAAACTCGCTGGACTCTTCTCTTGTTTAAGCTAATTCCCTAGTATGTTATGTCCTACTTTGAAAGGACAAGAGCAGCAAAGTCTTCCAAACACGAAAAACTTCACAAGTTTACCACTTTTCCTTTCAGAACATCTGAGTATGTATTTAAAAAAAGCAATCAGGAGTTAAGCGTGAATCTTGTATTACAAATAATCTGTTATTTTATGGTGAATACACTGTGTATCAATTTTGACACCCTGTCATAAGCTGACAGTAATTAGTATGTTGATGGTAACCAGTGTTTTCATTGGCATTTATAATTTCTCCTGGGAAAACAGAAAGACATTTTAGAAACTGAAGTAGCATTCCTCGGATTAATCTAAATTCTTCAGGAAAATAGGCCGTGGACGGGTGCTTTGAAAAAAGCCAGACATCTGACTCATTTACTGCTTTCCTCGAGCACGCCTGCGCAAAAAGTTTTTCTTCTTTTACCAAATCCATTTTTGGTTGCCTGTTTTGTTCACACTTTGAACACTGAAAGGTGTTTGAGAGTTATTTTATGGACTAATCCAGGTCATTATTCACCTTTCCCAGGTGGAAGGTAGGGAGGACAGCAGTGCATTCCAGCTGTAGTTTCTCCTGTTGGAGGACTTGGCAGGTCGTGTCTGGCCCGGCAGAGGGGATAGAGAAGTAAGGGAGCGGCAGCTCTCCTGGGAGGGAGGTGGAAGGGAGGGGGAGGACTGGAGTAGAATGGAAGCTGGCACCACATTATCTCCAACTGTTGGTGCATTCCTTAATGATCAAGTGCTGGAGAAGCATCTGTGATGAAAGTGAGTGTGTTTGTGTGTGTGTGTGAGAGAGAAAGAGAGCGAGAGAGCATATGTTTGCTTATTAGCATATGTTCGACGTGTTTGTTTAATTCCCCTTTTTACCATTTTTTGAAATATGTCTGTGCTTCAGGGGGAAAATGTCAAGCGCTGGTGTTGCTGTGTCTGACAGGAGATTATGATTTGAAGGGAGTTTGTTGTTCTGGGAGAGGAAGCCCTCTCACCCAGGGGTGAGAAGCAGGGAAGAAAAGCTGAGCTCCGCTACTCCCCCTGCCCTTAACACCCTGTTTTAAGATCTGTGATCTTTGTGCCACGCAGGGAGTTAACACACACAAGCACACACAAAACACATAGGCTTTTCTGACTCCCTCTCTTAGGGTCAAGGGCACAAACTGTGAGTTGGGAATTGGAAAGTCAATAAAGCAGAAGTAATGTTATAATGACCCCGAGCTGAAGATGTCCTGTCGACCCCCATCACATTGGAGGAAGTGGCCAATCAAACAAAATGGTGACTCTGCTTGATCTCGCTGAAAGCCACCCTTAAACAAGGCCACAACAACTACTGACCCCCTGTTACTCCCAGATCCTCTGAACTCAGTGTGTTTGTCAGAAGGAGCAACAGTGTTTGGTTTGTGGAAGCGGGCGAGAGATGATACAGAAGGATAAAAGGAAGCAACATTTGTATACATCCTCAACTGTATAAATCTCCTCTGATCCCAAGGATGATAGTGGTAAAACTGGAAGAATCCAGATGTTTCACGTGACAGGGCTTTCTCAGTCTTCACTCCTCCTCCGTTGCATTATGTAAAACAAAAAACCATAAATTCTGCCCGTGTGTTGCCAGAAGTATGTTTGTGAATGATCCACTGTTATATGCTTGTAAGACTATTCATTATGGAGTTCCGCAGCTTTGCAGCTTTAAATGTTGCTCCATATTAATTATACAATTTGCAAAAATCTATCTATAAATGCAATCTCTATAAAACTTATTTTAATTATAAGTCAGTAAAATTTATTTTCATATTTCACTCAAAATACTCAAAGAATTGCACCGAGGCTGCGGCTTTAAAAGGCATAATTCAATAGGACTGGATGTGTTGCTCTGGTTCAGATTAGAGGCAGGCTCAGAGTGGAGGGTTGCTCTACTGTTGTTTGATGGGAACAGGCTGAACCCGAAGCACCGCAGAGATGGTGGAGGCCTAGGTCAGCCAGCCCAGTATGTTCTTTATCAGCTACACCAGCGACAGCATGGCAGATTGCAGCCATTCCTTCTCTGATTCATTGTCTGCTGGACAAATGTTAATTGTTTTCATCATTGGCAGCTATGTGAACGTTTGGACGTACCCAGTCTAACTCTTTGCCTCCCGTTTAATGTGTGTCTCTGCCCTTATGGTAGTCCCACAATGCCTGCTTCCCTTCTCACTCCACCCCTAGCTCATCTCTCAGCTGTCGGACGGAGTCTCTTTTTAATGTTTCCCGCGCAATGCCATCAAATAAAACACCTCTCTTTCGTCTGATTCACCATCTTTTCATTTAAGTATATGGATTTATGACATCTACAAAATTATGAAAAGCGAAACTATATACTTTGCACAATATTACATACATAAAAACGTCAAATATTACAAATGGCTTTAAATTTCCCTTCTAATTTTTCTTTTTTTAGAATCCTCGTGCATGGAGAAACTTCTTTCTAAAGACTGGAAAGAGAAGATGGAGAGGCTCAACACAAGTGAACTGCTGGCAGAAGTAAAAGGTATGAATAGAAGTACCCCGTGAGTTCCTCATTCCTATCAGACTTACATAGTATATGTGCTGTTTAATATCAGAAAAAGCCTTGTACTTTGAAATGAAACAAAGGCCTTTGGCTGCCCTCCTCATTCATTTCTCTCCTCCCTTATCTTTTGTTGGAATGCCCAACTCTGTCCAAAGTGCTTTTCTTCAAAATTCCAGCCCATTTAGCCTCAGTCGAAGGCTCTCTTTGCTTGTCAGCAGTTTATTGTTGTTGTCCCTTCAGACGGCCCTGAGCCTCGCTGCTCTGCTCTGGCACATGCGGTGCGTTCATGCTGCTCTGGTAATTGTTGAACCCAAAGTGTGCTTGATGTAAACAGACCACGGCTGAGCTGAAAGGGGAGAAGCGGCTTGGAGAGGAGAGGGTGCGGAGACGCGCAGAGTCGTCTCCTCGGTGAGCTTGCGTTTGAGTGGAATGCCTTGACGCTGACAGTGAACGCCCCGTGCAGCCTATCGAGAGCACCACAGCAAAGAGCAACTCAGCACTCCCCCAAAATCTCTGTTTATGACAGCATGAAGGTGGGCTGAGGATGGGCAGGGCAGCTGCTCAGTCCTTAGCACTGACTGTTACAGCGAGCTGCTGTGTTTATACAGCACAGGGAAGCACAATACCAGCTGGCTGCTGACACTGGGCTGCCAGTGGCTCCCAGTAAATCCCTTCAACTAAGAACTTCTAGCGGCTTGCTTTAATTTCTTGGAAACCCTTTAGATAATATTATATCAGTGCACCTAGCGTTTTAATTAACATTTCATGGAAACAATTCACAAACAAGGGGGCCGTAGTTTATTAAGGTACAGGTTATATTGATAATTTGCTTAATTGTTTCTTTTCATAAAACATAAATGGGAAATATCAGAAGCGTTCAACTTTAATGATTAATTTAAATTTCTCCACCTGCACAGAAAGGTTAAAAAAAGCAGATGAATGTTCTAATAAGTATATTCATTAGCAATAACCTTAATGAAGTGATGGATAAATCGTTGCTTGCTAAACTCGATTCATTGTACCTGTGCTAGTACACTGTGTGTCAGTGGAGATCAAAGTGCATGGGGTAAAATGTTTAAAATGATTTAGCCTTTTGAAAGCTGGTCTGTTAAATTACAGGCAGGGCATTTTTTCTGTTTGATGAATGGGAAAAGGAAGGTTACTTGGTGGTCTGTAAACAGGTAGGGAGCCTGATAATAAACATTATGGCCTCTGTCTGTTGATGAGTTATGGAGACAGTCTTTACACCACAGTTACAAATATAAATGCTTCTCCTATCACAGAGGCAGCCTTAGATTTTTAATTAGCATGCCATTTCATATGACTGTAGACATTTCAAAGGGCTGCTTTGTGCTCACCCTTACAAATGTCTCTCTCTCTGCGTTTGATGTCTGCCTGATGTAAATACGGGCAATTAAAAAGAGGCCCAGGGTTGGAGATGCACAAGGTCCACCTAATTAAAACACAAACAAAGGTACCAAGCAGAAAACACCTTATGATTAAGATCTAAAGTGTTATGATGAATCAGAGGTCCCATTAATTGTTAGGTTAAAATCAGTACAAAAGGCAAACATATCTGTAGGTTATAAATGAATGAAAGGCTGCGGAGAAAAAAAGCTTTACATGCAGATAAAGGCTACAGTACCTAGTAGCAGAGTGGCCTTGCATATTCTGTGCAGATCGCTTACTTATTCCTCCGCAAATTATACCAAACGCCTTGTAGGCTCTCTTTTGACATTGTTCCATTGGAGCCTTGAAAGAGAAGCCATTGTTATTGCAGAGGCAAGTGGTGGAATCTGACTGGTGAGGAAATGATTTTGTCTTGTTCTTAGGAAAGAGATAAAAAAACAATAGGTGTGAGAGAATTTGACCTGAGGCTTTGCCCGTGAAAATAAAGACATTCTTTTGCAGCAGTTGTGTTCAAACATGCCCCGAATACTTTATCCTTTTGAGCCGAACACGCATGTACAGTCAACAAACAAAACAACTGCATCAACAACATCAGAGATTTTTCTTTTCAAGGTCCGCAAACCCAACCAACCATTTTCCCCTTACAAATGACAGATGTATAATTACAGCCTATTGTAATGCGCGTGTTTCATACATATTGTGCTGTTTTGAGGTAAAGGCATGTTTTCTAGTGTTTTAGTGTAAGTCGAAAGTGGCGTAATCCAGTGGAGGCAATGTGCTTAACCCAGACATACAGAGGGGTGTTATTAAGGGTTAATGATTTCAAATCTCCATCTGGCTTTTCTTGTACGCCGTCAGGGCTTAGCATCAGCACGGGGAGGCGAAAAGGAGAGCTTGTGAAGGAGCATTAGTGGCGGATTTCTTTTCACCAGTCAATTCCAGGGCTAACTGTTTGTTTTCATACCTGAGCTTAGCTGTCAATCTGCAGGAACGATGAAATCTCCTGAACAAAACCACAGAGCAAGAAAGGGAGGCTAGCTGGAAAGGCTCCAAACCACACAAAGTAACAGATAATAAGAGGCAAGGTGGAAAGAGTGCACAAGAAAGAAGTACACAGATAAAAAGATTTCAGCTGAGGAAACTTGGACAGTTGACATTTATAATTATATATCTCAGAGAGATCTGTTATATGATCACAAGTGACTGATAATAACCATTCATTATGCACATATATACATACACATATATGCTTATATGCCTTTTGGCTTGCTCTGTGCAGGGTCTTTGAGCTTCATACTCAACAGAGCTATTTAAGTTTCCCTGCTGAGTGGTAGTTTACTGGCCCCCCGATGGGGGCATAAGAAAAAAAAAAAGAAGAGAAAAAAGAAGAAGCACACACACAAACTGCTCAAGCATTTACTCAAACTGGAGGAAAATATGTAGTTACTAAATTGGAACACAAGCTGTATTCATTCCGCTGGAATCTGCTAAAAAAGAAAGACAGAAAAAAGCTTAACGCTGTACACTAGCGTTGAAATGGCAGCTTGAATTCTGAAGCAGAAAAATCAGGGCTCTTGCACTGTCACAATCAATTTGAGAATGGTGTCTACGTGACAGTGGTCGGGTGCAAACATACAGTCCTGTGGCAGGCAGATAAGTGGAAGCTCTTTAGGAGGAGAACAGAGGGCAGGGCAGGAGGCAGCTGAGACTGATTTGATGCTGGCCCTACCTGTGCTGGCTATACTCCTGCACAAGCAGAAAGGGGTCCACAGTGAGAGCACAGAGCCCAGATTGTTTAGTACTGTGGGTTTGTTGCAAAACATGTTTGTGCACTTTAAAAAAAAATGTCTTAATGACCTCTATAAAGTGCGGTTTTGATACTACTGGACACAACTGCATATTTGTGCAACATTCCCCATCAAAAGTGAGCTTATGTAGCGTTAGAAAGGAGAAGGAAGACATTAATTTTGAGGGTATTTCAAAAGGTTTGTGTATTTTATATAATATGTCTATTACACCCAACATACAAACCGTTCACACAAATAGCACAAAACGTTATCTGTCCAGTTGCTCCAGTCAAAAATGCCTCAGTTAGCATTTTCTCCACAACACTTCAGTCAACTGTTTGCCCTGTGCACTCAGGTGAAATATGAGCCACAGTAAATCATTATTCCTGAGGCCACATTTGCCAGATGAATGCATGTGAGTGTTGGACTGTGTGTTTTTCTCCTCTAATGAATTGAGGAATTTAGCTTGTGGCAATGGAAGGTAAAAAAGGAAGCGCTGTGCTCGTGTGTGTGTAGTGTATGTTTGTATATACAGGTACAAAAATCTCTGTGTTTTCAATTACATATTTTCCAGTGGTTTGTTCAAGTTGAGTCATTTAACAGTATATCGTTTTATTAATCTTCCTTTCAGTCAGAGAGAATGTAAACCATTGAGAGAGCTGACAAAAACATATCTATGTCATTTTTAAAGGAGCCTCCCCTAAAATATTCATTAGTTTTTCCTGGGCAAAGCAAATTGGATTTTCACAAGCATGTAAAGCCGAACGGCTAAGTTATATGAGGATGTAAGAGAATGCGAATACACCCTTCAGATTTAAAAAGATGCGTATAACAACCAAATTTTAGGAAGGCATAAAAATGGCTAAGACAGGTTTTTGAAATTGTGTTTAAAGTAAAAAAAGTCACATTTTTATAGGCTCCATAAGAAAGTGTTATTTTTAGCTTAATTTCATTTATGGGTAATGCTATCGAGTGCATCAAGTCACTTTCCAGGATTATTTTTGATTCTTTTTTTTTTCTTTTTTTTTATTATGGAAAGAACATCGGTAATTACACAGGTGTTATTTTGTACTTGTGATTTGGCATTTAAGTATAAAATCAGGCTGGAGTTGGGGACTATCTCAAATCTTCCTTTTATCCTTCTTTGCATGTGCACCAAGCAAGCACTATGGCCTTTTATGTTCAATTTTATGCATTTTGATCTAGTCTATCACCAGTACACTGTTCTGTTTTCGAAAATGTAATGTAACAAATGTGTAAAATTAGCAGTAAAACACTAAAATGTCATTCTAGCCTGAAATGTGATGACTTTTGATGAAAAGTTTAAACGTTTTAAATTGCACGGAGGCTACAAATTTGTGCACATTTGGGCTGTTCTGGATCGAATTTGACTGAAAGGGTGAGAAAGTAAAATGGCACAGGAGCGATCATATGTGGTGCACATAAGGAACAGAGCGCACACAAAGGTCAGAGGGTGTTTTTTTTTCTTTACATAGAGACCTGCTGCACCTGAAAGGTAACAAAATAATCTCAAAATAAATAAAGTAGAATGCATTTGTTCTACACAAACTGAGAAAGACAGAAATCAAAAGATCAGTGAAACGTGCAAGATTTGTATTAAAAGCCTGAGAACGCAGCAGGTGCTCTGACCTGTTATATGCTTTGTGAATATGTGTTCTGGGCTCATCTGTCTTTGCTTCCTGTTATCCCTGCTGTTTCAGTCTATCACTTGTGATCTGATAAAAAACCCAGACAAAACACTGGTATTGTTGATACACTTATCCATCAAAGACAGCAGACGGAAAGTCTTTCGAAAGATCTCATTTTGCGCAGTTCAAGGAAACAAGTAGATTCTGCTTTAATTATCAGTTGTATAGGTAAGACGGATGAATAAACGCTCTGTGAAAAGAATGAGATAACATCTAACTCCTAATTCCCTTCCAAGGATTTGTTGACAGTAAGTCATTGCCTTGATCACTGTTTCATATGCTTTAAGTGCTATGTATTAGAAAGACCTTGAAAATTGTGCATTCTTTTTATATTTTAAGGTCACGGGGGTCAGACTTATCATTATAAAGGCCATAAGAGATGAAATGAAGGCTCAGAGACAATCTTTGTTTTTATGTAATGATCTTTGCTACATGCTGCCTTACACAACATCTTGTTGCCAGGATCTGTGGTTTGCTGCACAGTCTTATAGATTCAAAGAAAGTTGCATTCAGTTACTGAAAGAACACAAATAAAGTTGCTGCGTTGAAATTTTTTTTTTTTCTCCAGGGAGAATTTAAGGGTCACCGGCATTTCCCGCGGATTAATATGCTCAGGTTGAGCCTCTATCTTGGCTTTGATGAAGTACCTTGTCCAGTGTCATGGATAGACAGTTAAGTGCTGGAGCTTTTACATTAGCATAATTATACTGAAGAGTGAAGCTTCCTCTATCATCAAAATGTTAGCCTCTATCACTGTTCACCATGAACAGCAGAACCTCAGTAGATGAAGAGTACTTTTATTAATAAGCTCTTCATATGCCAATCAGAATATTTATGTTTAAAAGATGGTGCTGAGACACTTAAATGATTCTGATGCAGTCGCATCAACATTCAAATATACTATATGCAAAAACATAGGTGGCACGTGCAAAATACTATAATACACTTATTATATTCAGACTACTGCAAATTTTAGAGAACATTTGAGTTTTTCATTGTAAAGAAGCCGATATATTCATCCTTATCATATAGGTAAGCTTAGTGGCTGAGGGGCATTTGCTGCCAGTGGATGACGTACTTGTAAGTCATTGCTTATGCTTGTTAATGCGGTTTTATTGGCAAGATTAACGGCTTTTATATCATAGCAGAGGCAGCAAGCCAGGTAAAACAGCTGTTGCTCATATTGTCTTGGTTGTAGGACACGGAGACACATTAACACCATATTAAACACACACAGCCTTGTAGCACTGCTGGACAAGTGCACATACTATTTAAAAGCAAAGGGATACTATAAAACTAGTTCCCGTTACTCTGGCTTTTCTGCCAGTTTTCAACCTAACACATTTTTTTTTTTAACAAAGGATAAAATGTTTCAGTTGTATTAAATAACACAAAAGAAAATTTGATTGGAAAAAAACATTGTTAGGTATTGGTAAAAGGACTGTGGACATCCTTTTTTTTCCCTTAAAAATACTAAAGCGCGCACCAATAGATGTCGTCTGCTGCTACTGAGTTAGCTCTTTGTGTTTTCCGCAGAAAGAATGGACAAAGGGTCAGATGACCACAGAGGTCACACACGTGCATTTACTCAGAGACATGTACCTTTTATTGATTGGAGGCACGTGCAACACACATCGGTGCACGCTCGCGTCTACATTCACACGCGCTTTAGGAGAGCGCAGAGTGAGAGAGCGTCTCAGCATGCAAGGCATTCAAGCTATGTGCGGTCTGTGTGCGGATACAGCTTGGTACAATCGTACCATTTAGACAAGGCCCAATTTACTTAGGATGGGTTTGCAGCATATGGAAGCATCCACAATAGCTGTCTGATAGAGAGACAAAGAAATTCCAGTCTTCTGGTGCTAAAAAACTCAATTCAGATCTGGTCATAATGGCTCAGCTGTCTTAACCAAAGGAAGAGAAGAGAATAGGGTGCCTTGTGATTTTCCCCCTTTTTACCCTCACCCTCCTCGTTTTCTTCTTTCTTTTTTTTGTGCCTGAATCTTTTATCTGTGTTATTCACTCGGGACTCTTCAAAGTAACAAGCCTCCTTCTTTTTCCCCGGTACTGGACTTGGAACCCAAATTAGAGACTGCTTGATTAGAGCAGAGAGGAGGGAGCCAAGAGAGAGAGTGAGAGAGAGATGTGGGTATTGGACAAAACAAATCACACCCCTACAAAGTGCCTTTTATCCAAAGACCCCAAGGCTCAAATACCCCCGTCCTTCCCCAAGCAACCATGGCTCTGCTTGTTTTTCTCTTATGATTTATTTAGTCACCCGTTGATGTTTTCTGCCCTACTTTGTGACGTTTAAAGAAGGCAGGAATCTCAAAAGGTGCATGTGAATGGGCTGAAACTGGACAACGCCATCTTCTATGTGTCAGTCTAAAAATTCTGAACTTGGCAGAAGTGTCCTAAAATAACAAAACAAGAAAAGTGCCAGCACAGCTTGACCGCTTACTCCTGGGATCCTCTTCCTGCTTTGGGCTGGTATTGTCCTACTGAGGCTCACTTGTTCACCAGGAGGATGTCACAACACGTTAGGTCCAGGCCGACTGCTGGCGTTTATGTAGCGCCAAGGCATCTCTGGGCTGTCTGTCTGCCATCGGAAGCGCAATGTGAGAAGACATGTTAACAGGCAGACCCCAGCCCTACCGCTGTTAAAAGCCATGCAATATGCAGGAAACGGCCTCTTTTGTCAGCAGCCTGGTCAGACACAGACCACGACTCTCCTCTTCTGTACCACCCAATAAAAGTTTTATCTGCATTTTAAAGCTGATCCATAATTCAAAGCAGGAAGAAAGGGATTTTAACGCTAACCAGCCAACAAAAAACACATGTGTCTCATTTTATGTTTGGTTTTCTTCCACTGCGCTTATCTTTAGTAGATATTTAAGCACCAAAGCTGTGTTTGTCTGCAGTACTGACAGCTAATCTTAAAATGTCTTCAGCTGTTGTAGATTTTTAGGACTGAGATCAACAATTATGACTGAAATCAGAAGAGAGAGATGGCCTAAATCGTGGTGCAAGGGAAGGTCTGGGCTTCCCACAGTTCAGCTCAACATCAAAACAATGAGCCTTCTGTTAGTATTCTTGTGGTGTCTGGGCAGGAGTGAACACCCCACACTCAGACTGGCCCATCAGGTCCTTCATTGGACACTTAGCACAAGTTCTGCTGCATATTCACACTCACAAGACAAAACATAAACATTCTGCAGAATCTTTGTAATTTTCACAATTTTTAAACTCCTAAACTAGTGTGACATGTGTACTTAGGCAGGCTGTGAGGGCGTCATTGAGCCCAGATGTTTTACTTTTTTTTCCAGCTGACACTCATCTGTGACTCGATGGCCCCAAATCAAAATGATCATCTAGATGATGATTTTTCTGTTCTTCTTTTCTGTCTTGTTACCCCCCGTCTCCCTTTCTTTACGGCTCTCCCTCCTTCCCGCGACAGTATTGATAGTGATTTATTGTGACAATGACCGATGTATTTTGCTGCTGAGCAGCTCCTTCATGGAGACAGCCAAAGGTTAATAAAATTGGTGCTGATTGTATCAATTTTATAGATAAGCCATTCACAACAAGTGTAGTTGGGTGAATAAGAAGTCAATTGAGGCCTTGGAAACTGCACACAGGCCCAATGAATAGCTGCTTTTAGGTGCTTTTTTTTCGTTAGGAGGATAAATGGAGAATTGCAGCTCTCTTCCATTGCAGCAGGCAGCAGAGGCAGAGCGAGGCGAACTGAGGTTCAGACAAGCCTGCCAGTAAATTGCCCTGAATGGGTTCTGGAGGTTGACAGGCCCTATTAAGACAAACAGCTTTCCTCATCGGAGAGATAAAATAAATCAGGTGTTTAGTCAAATTAAAATAGTTTGAGTGGAGAGGGCCCCTGGGAGCTCTCAGGAGAAACTCAAGACAGATGTGGTCAGAGACGAGAGGAAGACACCCAGGAAAGAATTCAGCTCCTGCTGGCTTCAGGCCAGACTTCACCGCACTGTTATCTGGACCTCTTGTGTTTTTTGCCCCCTTTCTCTCTCTTTCTCCCTCTAACTGTCTCTTTCTCTTTCTGTCAGTTTTCCTGTCAGTTTTTTGTACGTACCACCATACCAGCTGTCACACAGGAGTGCAGTGGGAGGAGAGTGAGTTACTGTCTAGCCTCTCACTGGCAATTATGTTGGCTGTGTAAGTCAATGGTAGGATCACTTAGCATTGATTAGGCGGAGAGAGAGCAGTGCAGCGGAGCCCCTATCACACACAGTGTAGACATGTAACTGCAGAGAGAGAAACGCAAGTCCGCTGCTCTGTCATTGCTTTGGTTTGCATTAAAGAGAGGGAATGTGATGATGATACAAAGTGCATGTGGTTATAGTGTATGTTGAGCATGCATTTTGTTTGTGTACGTACCGCTTTGAGTCTTTTTTTCTGCAGGTTTCCACATTAAATTCAGCCAAAATCTGCAGGCGTTTCCTCCCCTAATATTTGGTGTGTATAAAAGTTCTGTTTATAGGCCAGTGCAAAGAGTGACTCTTAACACTTTCTTTATAATCACCCGTGGACGTCTGAAATAAGCTGCGATTTCAGTTTGACAGCTCCCTGCAGCTCTTTGTCTGTGTGCTCGGAACAATTCCTTCACTTTCTTGCTGTGAAAGCCGTGAACACCAGCTACAGAAAAACAGACAACTCCAGGCTGTGTGTGACCTTAACACTTTCTAGTGAATTCACTGCAGTTGGTTGCTGCCTGTGTGGTTTTCTTTGTACTAAATATTGTGTACAGCACAATAGCACATGATGATCGGTCACTGTTCTATATTTAGCATTATATAATGACCGATGGCTTCTGCTGTGTTTCCTCCAAAAGCCTACACCCTGGTTATTTAGTCATGGTCACAATAAAAACTTTTGAGTACTTTTTTTTCCAGGTATGCACCAACTTGTGGTCATGTTTTTGTTTTTGTTTTCACCACCTTGCATTTATCCTTTCCTGCTCACAGACATTGCTCTCTCTTTCTCACTCTCCTTCTTCTCAATAGGTACTCCTGAGAGCCTGGCCGAAAAGGAACACCAGCTCTCCACGATGATCACTCAGCTGATCAGCTTGCGAGAGCAGCTCCTGGCTGCTCACGATGAACAGAAGAAGCTGGCTGCCTCACAGATGGAGAAACAGAGGCAGCAAATGGAGTTAGCTCGTCAGCAGCAGGAGCAGGTAACCGCTTGCTGTTTTCTTTTCTCACACGCACCAAAACACCTAGCTAATAGCCCACGCTATATATTTATTTATTTATTTATTTTACCTTTTCCTAAACTAGGCTCTTTTCTTACTATTTGAAACACACAGAACATTCCCCTCCCTCCTTTTACCTTTTTTATTTAATTTCCTCTTTCACCTAATAATAAACCTCTTTAAACACAAGTCTTTGTGCTTAGCTCTCTATTTCATATTACATTTCATGCCTGAAATGCGCCAATAAAACCTTGCTACTTGGTTGGAATTTGGAATAATATTAGATTTGAAAGACGTTATAGTCTATATTGCCTGAGATATTTCGGTCATGCTCTCCCGCCCACAGTTATGCTGTGTGGTAGGAAAAATGTTATTATGACTTGTACTAACAAATGCGAGGGAATGTGTGAATTAAACGTTATATTAAATATGGAAGTCCTCTATATCTTATAAATCGACTCCTATTAGAACAAGCCTGGCATTAGATTTGCAGCACAAATCAGGCCAATGAGCCATATTGTACAAATCAGCAAATTAGCACAGGCCATGAAGTGTGTTAATGTCTGGGAAGAAATAAGGACACAAACTATCCACACGGGCGACACTTTTATTATCACCCGCCACCCTAATGGCTATGAGTCAATTATCAGCAAGGAGTTCACTCAGAGTTTTCTCAGCACACTCTCAGACCTTCCTTTGGTAAATGAAGAGATAGACCGTCCACCTTGGAGTGATGCATTTGGTCATAGTACACTAATAATACATTAACAGTATTGATTTATTTTTCAATCAATAGTGTTCATTTGCAAACTACGCTCAGCTCTGAAGGCTTTGGAGACACTGCAGAACAAACGACCAGTGATATATGTTTTATTATTTGATCTTATGTTAATGCAGGCTGATATTAATATTTACCATTAATAAAAATGGAAGAGAGACAGCGAGAGATGGTTGAGAGAGGGAGAGTAAGAGAGCCCGCTGAGATCTGGGATGTCATCAAGCCATCAAGATACAACGCAGTAATTAACTGTTGACACTCGTGAGGAAGCCAGCACAAATTAATCTTGACACATTTGCAGACGGCCGATATCTTACAGTGAACACTTTGTAATTATATTTAAAAATGAAAATTAAATGACACTTAAAACTAGGTTGTCATGCTCAATGAAGTGAGCATGTAAAAGGAGGGAGCGCTAGGGATGAGAAACACTGCTGTGTGGCTGCTCGTCACTCAGGGGCAGCGGGGACCCCTGTCACCCTTCCTGGGCTTGCCACCTCCATCATAACCACATTCGTCTGTGTCCTGTAAATCATTTATTCTCTTTCTCCGCAAATTTCAGCTCTGCAGTTCATTTTATATTCATTTAGAACATTTAATGGTTTGTTATTGACTGACTGCAGCGGTTTAGATAAAAGAATACACTTTTATTCACGATAAAAATTGCTTTTTTAAGTTCCACCTCCAGTCCAGCCCTGTATCGTCCGTCTCGGCACATATTTAGTGTTAGGTTCATTTACTAATCAATCTACATTTTTTTCCCCACTTCATTTACCAACCAGATTGCAAGACAACAGCAGCAGCTTCTGCAGCAACAGCACAAAATCAACCTCCTCCAGCAGCAGATCCAGGTCAGTCAAAGCATTTCTGTTGGCCCTCTACCACTCAGCAGCTTACACCTCCTACTTTTTTTCTACAATGATTACTACTCCACTTCTGCCTCTTCAGTATAATTAGAGCACCAGGGTTGTCACCATGATCCAGATGTCTGGATTTATTTGCACAGATCAATAAAATTAGGCATTAAAGTAAATATCATGGCTAACTTAAGTTTGCCACTCCTTCTTTACTTCTTATTCCTTTATCTCTGATTTTTTTTGTGTGTGTGTCATGCTGACATTCGTCACTTTCATCAAATGTTAATTGGCCGTTGGTAATCGGGAGGACTTTAAAATATGTAGGCGAATAATTAGCACATCTTAATGAACAAAAAAAATGGGGGGAAAAGTAACAACGGCTAATGAGTTGTGTTGATGGAGAAGTGCGTGGAGGTGGGGGACATGAAAGAGGCTGGTAAATGCCTCCGAAATGAGTAGATCCCAGAAGGGCAATATGGCACGCTTTCACACAGCACGCGACCTGCTGAAACCTACATTGTCACCATGACCTGTGCCTGCGACACGTACTTCCTTATGCCGCCTCGTGGACTTTTATGTTTTGTTCTACTTTTTCAGATGTGCATCATGCCAGATGTTATCTTGCTCACCGCGTGTGTATGTTTGTGTGTGCTCTGTGCAGTATAGTACAAAGCACAAAGGTGCAGAGGAAGACCACCCACGCAGCATGTAGCTGAATATGGTCAGGGATATGTACAGGGTAATCCAGGGTTGCTTGCTGGCAGTGGTCAAGGCTGCGAGCCTGGCTGCCTTTGTGAGGCTAACATTATCCTGCCGGGTGTGTTTGGTGTCAGGCACATCCTTCTCCATTTGCCTCCTCCTTCTCTGCTTGTTCTCAAAACTCTCCGCATCAAAACTTTAAATATTCACCTGCAGCAAACTCCTGCAGAATCAACATTCAGATATTTTTTTGATAAAGAGTATCTTCTCCCCATATACTGGGACATACCACATATAATACAGCTTATTCTTATGATCCAAAGAGCAAAGAAAACATCTGTTCTCAAAGAGCAGTTAGTACAACAAGCAGATTTATGGCCAGGGCATCAAAATGCCTCTTTCAATGGCTCTTTACAAGAGGAAGACTGCACTCTCAGCTTACTGTGGAGTAGCCACTAGCCTGGACCTTTCGCTTCAACAGTGGACAGTCTATTGGAAAAACAATTCCATACGACATTCCACTACAGACAAGCACATAGCATGACACTCTGTGTAGAAAACCCTCGAAAATGAAGTACCTTATACACTGCCGAGGGGCTAGTAATACTCATATGATAGAGAGCTCTTTACTTATGCACGTTGAGCATAAGGGCACAGCCCTAAAGGATCTCCCTTTTCGAGGCCCTTGCTTTCATCACAGAGTTATAGGCAAATGTTACCTGAAAATTCCCCTTGATGGATACTTTTCAGAGAGGGTGAGGTTTCAAGTGTTTATGGGAAAGTGCTTCTAAATATCCATTTCAAACACTTGAACGGAGATACAAGTAAAGCCCTTTCTTGTAGAGCCCAGTTAGCCAGTTTTCCCCTGACAAAATGAGATCTCTCCTGATTAAAAAAAAAGCCACATCCACAATTAAATAAAAGAATCTCATGGTCAGACCATCTGTTCTACTTGCCCATCAGCCTCTCCTGGCTGCACTGGGCACGCACAACTCAAAAACAAGTCGCTCCCAAGACTTTAATAAGTTTCACTGTGTGCAACATTGTTTATCAGACAGCAAGTTATTTAGAGAAGAATATGTTCTCTGTCCTTAACCTATGGACACTCCTCTCAAGTTGGAGTATCAGCAAGAGTAGATAAAAGAGAGTCAGGGGCAAGTTAGCGCAACGGTTTCTGCCACTCTGTTTTCATTAGTGCTGCCTCTTAAAAATGCCCTGGTCATTTTAATATACAACAGCTTTGACTTAATTATTTCTGTAAACAAGCTTCCATCCTGTACTGCGCAGGCCTTTAGCAAAGTGGTAAGCAGCGCTGAGGGATTGAGTTACTCTGCTGTTAGCATGGAGAGCATTAAACTTTATTGGAGACCCTCCTGCCATCAAAGTCCTTCTGTTTTGGCTCGAAGGAAAATGAAGAGAAAGCTTCTTGCTCAGGTCTTCTACTGATGATGTGACATTTGACACCGTAAAGGGTCTACACAATAAAACCGAGGGGACCGCAACTGGAGGCTGTTTCTGTTATGCGTGTGCTGTCAAGGACTTTTTTTTTTGCATATAAATTTAAGTTGAATCAGAAGTAGGTAGTTATTAGGTTTAGTAAGCGAGGTTTGGTCCAAGGCAGCAAGTAGTTCAATCGAGTTCTTCTTTTGAATAGCCAACTCTCATTTTATCCTTTCTCATCATTCCAACAAGAGACGAAAAGAGATTTAGTCTTTGTCCCTCGGGATTACAATGTCACTTGTTTTAAGATAGCAGATGTTTTGATTGAAGCGTTAGAGGCTTATCAAAAGTTAAAGCTCAAGGCTTTGTGTGTTTTTCCCTCAGCTTCTTTGTATTTTTCAGTTCATCCTCCTCGTTGAAATCGCCTTGGCACTAATTCAATCCTAGGGTTAGATTAACTCTTGAGTTGATTTAAGTTGAAAATCTGAAACCTCACCATTGCAAGACTCATGTGACACTTAAACATATATATATATATATATTTATATATATATATATGAGCCATTTAACTCTGTTTCACTTTGTTTGTGGGAATGCATGAGAGGTAAAGACAAGGCATCATTCAGGATATAAAATTTTAAAAAGTATGAGACATGGAGCTTTAAGGCACTCAGGTGTTGTGCCATCCATAGCCAGACCATAAGAATAACTCCATGCACCTCACTGGGTAATAAGCCCAGTTCATGTTTTCCTCAAGGATGGGTCTGTTAAGATACAATCCCTGGTATGACTCTGTATGCAAGTAAATACACATATACATCCACAAAGGTGATAGTGTACAGTACACAGGCACACAGGGACCCACGCACTGATACACACATCAATGGAATAAATACTGGCAGAAAGGTCAGGGTGAACTTTATCTTCACAAACAGGGCTGGAGAAAGCCGAGCTCCCCACATGAAACAGAGGGACACTTTTAATTCATAACATTTAATTTAATTTCCTTTTTTTAATCCATGAAAAACATCACAATATCATGACACTGTCATTTGTCATTGGCTGTGGCATTGATGTGCTAACTCTGAGGACACTGTGAGACCCAAGATCGGCAAGCTAACAGTTTCAATGTTGGCTGGCAAAAGTTCTTTTTTGCCCACATTTATATCTCACTCCATGAATGATCTGTTCGTCAGCCAAGTTATTCAGTTTATCTCCCTTTGACCTATTCTTCTCTCCCGACATACGACCTAGCTATAAACTCTGACCTCGCTGAAAGTAAGCGCACATTTTTGGTCCATTTAACCTCATGTCCACAAACACGGCTTGCTGAAAATGAAAACCAGAGATTAAAAGAGAAAAGGCCAGTGTATTAGTGTCCACTGCACACTTCAAAGTCTTAGTGGCTTCCTCACATGTGTCTTTAATGGTGTCAAGAAACAGTGGGGGACACTACTAAAGGTTTCAAGATTAAAGAAGAAATTCAATAACACCAGCATTAATCCGCCAAGAATTTTACAAGGTGGACAATATAGAGATAGATTTTTGAAGATGAGACGGTGCATAACAGACTTGCAGGAAAACATGCAGTTTGATAGAAAAAGGTTCTGCATTAATTCTTCATAGAGTTCATATTTTAGCCAATGGCAGGGTTATTACTAACATATCTTTCCCAATCTTTTTGTCAGTGTATCACACACTGTAAAAGTATTGTTGTCGTTATTTTACAGGAAAAGACTTCAAAATAGGTTTAAAAAGGGTTTGAAAGAGTGCAGCTTCAGTTTTTTGACCCCTTTTCTTTCTAATGCTTTCTAATTCTTTAGTCTTACCACAAAAACAGAGGTGTTTAATGTCAGTTGACATAGTGTTACAAGTGAAAAAAAAACTTTACAGTGATGTGTTTTATTCAGACGACACAGAACTCCCATATTTCTCATAGAAATCAGAAAAGTCACAGGAGGATGTCTGTACCTGTCCATCTGTACACAGTAGCTGAGGAGTCTGCACTCACATAATTTTCTCTTTCTTTTAGTTTGCACCTACAGATATCAACTCTGATAATCTAACTTTAAACAAACATCAAGCTTTATATTTAAAATAAAAAAGCAGTTTTTGTTTGTTTCGGGGGCTTTATTTCACATCTTCTGGAAATATCCATAATAGCTTAACAAATAAACTTTTCCTTAAGTGTCCGGTGCGGTTGCGGTTTGGCAGATGACTGACATCAAGCCTGACCCGCGGCTGTCATCAAGTCATTCTTTCAATTTCAAACGTTTTCAATCAAATCCAGCCTTTTCTTCTGCTTTAGCTTACTCGTAGATTTCTGCATTCTTGTTGTGATCCCCTTCCACTGTGATTCAGACGCAGCTTTTGATGGTTGGGGTCAGGGTCACGGTCCTGTTACAACACAAATCATCAAGCCAGTGCAGGGTCTTTGGCAGCATTTGGTAGTTTCCCACACATAATTGGCCTGCATTCAGTATTCCAGTCTTGACAAACCCCGCACGGATGAAGAATTAAATCTTTGTTTAGTGCTGCGCAAACAGTTATCTCACCAGATCTCGCACCAGATTTGATCAAATCATACTGGTCTCTGTAATAAATAGTCTTTTAGTACTTCTGTTTGGTCTACCTTTTTATCATAATGAAATGGAATATGCATCCGATCCTTTGCAATAATTTAATGCTGATTTCGTACCGCTACCAATTTAGAGGAACAAAAACCCAAAACTACAGTATAATGGTAAATATTTAAAATCAATCAGATGAGTTTAAATAAACACGGGGCCGTATGGTAATTGCTCGAAGATAATAGTGCTAATTTGTGTATTCTCTGATGCTTTTGTTGTCTCCCC